CGTTGCACAGATGAGGAAGCTAGGACCACACAGGAAAGTTACTTAACTTGGCTAAGATGACACGGTACTTAGTGGCCAAGCCAGGACTAGAGCGCTGGTCTCTTCCCTCAAGTTATTACTTTTCTACCATATTTAGCTACATTATATAATTTATAAATTGCATGACTTTTTAAAAGTTTTCACTCCATCTTCTAGGCCAGAACTTCCTTTTTCAATGTGACAGCTAATTTTTTAATGCCAAGAGATAGATATATAGAGAGTTTAAGTTCAAGGCCTAAGGCCTAAAATAAGAATTCACCTATTTCTAGTGACTAAAACTCAGCCTTTCTGAACATCTCTATTGTATAAAATGTGACTTGCTTCTTTAAATGTAAACTTAAATTACTGACTTTTATGTATACATTTATCTATAATTATTGACTCTGTATTTTATTTTGAACTGATTCCTAAAGGTACCTCAATGATGGTAATGAAATGGACATTTAAAAAGCATAGAATCTTGTTAGCAGCCATGTTAGGCCACTGTTGCCTAGAATGTCTTAATCCCTGGAGTTAGGAAAGAAGACATTATTTAATATTCTTCTATCATTCTCCATCCTTGTACCAGATGTTTTGCTAGGTGTTTGGAGGAAGAGAAAGCGTCACCAAATGACCAGTAATTCTCCCACCCTGAGACAATAACTCTAAACATGTTGATAACCTTCTATATTTTTTTCTGCACAGGTAGTTTTTAATAAAAACGACATAACATTTTTTTTAAAAACTGTGATTACAGAAGCAATGCCGGTCACAATAGGAGGGAACTCAAACAGTACAGGGGGCACACAATTGAAAACTGAAAGGCTCCCCCCAACCCCCCAGGCCCTCTGGCACTGAACCTTAGCCCTTTGCACTCAGAGCAGTTGCTGCAAGGGGTCCCACCTTTGTTCTGCTGGTAGTTAACCTTACAACGTCTGTAAAATATTCCTCACTCTAATTTTAGATGGATTTACTTTAGACAGTAGCTGTTGAACTGGCTACAAATACAAAGAAATCATTTATCATTCCATGAGCTTTCCTAATTTTAAAACTGTTCTTACCTTTACCTTTCCAAAAGCTCTCATCTGTCCTGCTGTAATTATCTGGTTCTTTTTCATAGGCTAGTTTACAAATGGAAGGACCCAATAATCAGCATTTACATTATTAGGATTTGTGTGTATGTTACATCCACATTCCCTTGAAAGCTTAAAAAGTATGTAATCCTTAAGGTGTTAGACTGTCAGAGGGGCTCCTCCTAAGCATCCCAGTCTAAAATTCTCATTTCTTTCTAGCTTTTTTCACTTCTCTTATTCCCTGTATCTCGTGTTTTCCTCTCGAATGCTCTTTTCCCTTTTTGGTCTCTCTCTGTCTTTGAGCAGTTTATTCACGAGGACTCATGGTGGCAAATTTTCTGAGTTCTTGAAAGTCTAAAATAAGCTTTATTTTGTCTTCCTATCTGTTTTGCAAGTTTAAATGAATATAAACTCCCAGATTTTAAATGTAAAGGAATTGCTCCCTTATCTTCTAGTTTGGCATTGATTATAGATAAGCAGTTTGATGGCATCTTATTTTTTTTTTTTTTTGATGGCATCTTATTCTCATCCTTTTGTTAGGAATGTTTTTTTCTCTCTCTGAAGTGTTGAGTTTTAAAAAAATTTCTGTCATTTCTAAAATTTTACCTGTATGTTTCTACATGTAAGTCTTGTCTTAATACTCTTGTCATTTTGTGGAAGCTTTCCATTTGAAGATGCATGTCTTATTTCAGTGTAGCAGTAATTTCTTCTATGATATGACTGTCTGTCTGCCTTCTGCACTTCCTATTGGGTGGGCTTTAAACCCTCACGAACTGGCTGTGTTAAAATTATTTGTGTGTATTTTTCATTTCTTGATCTGTTTACTGGGCTCAGAGATTTCTTTGAATTTATCTTTCAGATTAAAATCTTGGTCCTCCACAGGATCTAATTTTAATCCCGCCTATACAGTGAATTTTTTCAGTCATCATATTTTTAATTTACAAGAGTTTTTGTTCTCCAGCTGTTCCTTTTTTTTGGCAGGCTGTTTTATTTTAAGGCGGCAGCGTTCTTAATCTCTCTGAGGACACCAAATAGAGGTTTTGTTTGTTTTAATTCTGTTTAGTGAATTATATTTTTACTCATTTGCTCTGTGGTCGTTGTTGGTTGTTCTCAGTTCTTCTCTTTCCTCCTGTCGGTGTTCCTCAGCTCTCCTCAGATTTTTCTTTAATTTTGGATGCTGTCCAAGTGTCTCAATGGAACACTACCTCAGGTGTTCTTAGCCCTGGCATGTGCTTCCTCCGCAGTCAGGCAGGCCTGTTGCCCTAGTAGATCCCTCCGCTAAATCTAGACGCTTTCTGGTGACCTAGTGTTTTCACATAAGGTATGTTGTGACCATTTTCCCATGTCATAAATTCAAACATGCCAGTTCTACTGGTTGCAGAGTTTTCCATCATAGTATTATTGCTCTCTCTCTCTTTTTTTTTTAGGCATTTGATTTTTCCAGTTTTTCACTGGACAACATTAAGGAATATATTTGTACATGTATTTTTCATACCTCTGCGATAATTTCCATAGTGTAAATTCCTAGAGTAAAATTTATGGGTTGTGAAAGACTTCTGACAGACATTACTAAATTGCATTTTGGGAGACTGTAACAACTCTCAGTCTCACATAAGAATACCCTTTTCCCTACACTCTCGACAGTGGTAGATGTCATCATTCTTTTTCATCTCTTTGCTAATGCATATATATAAAGCAGCATTTTATTCCTGTTTGAACTTGCATAATATATGAATATTTTCATGAGTTTGTGTGTGTGTGAATTGATTCTTCCTGTCCTTTGCCTGTCTCTGTTGGAATGTTCACCATTTTGTTTTGCTTTATGAGAATATTTGTTTTAGGAATATTAACCCTTTTTTATAAATGTAGCAACTATTTGTGTCAGTTTGTGGTTTGCCTTTAACTTTTTCCTATGTGTTTTTTGCTGTACACATGTTTTGGTGCTAAGTTTATAAAGCCACCCATCTGCCTATCCAGAGATTAAATTTCATTTATACCTCTTGGTATGTTTATGGTTTCTTTTTTTACATTAAGCTTTTAAATCCATATAATTTTATTTTGGAATATGGTTTGAGTAGGGGCACATCTGTTTTGTTTTGTTTTGTTTTCAAGATAACCAACTAGCTGGCATGCTTTTTGTGGATTGATCATTCATCCTTTCCTCCCTTACTGATTAGAAATCTCTCCCTTGTCATATACTAAATGTTTTATATGTGTATGTGTGTATCTGCCTAAAAATATCTTCCCAAGAGCATCCTACAGTTCATGAAATTTCTAGCCAGACCACTGTGTTACCCTACTATTTCTAGAAAACACTTAAGTATAATACTTAGACTATTGTATTAAAATCTTACTTAGTGCTTGCTTATTATTCTAATTCTTGAGAATCAAAGACCCTTCCCCCCCAACATTTGCTTTATCTCAGAGCACTTCGTTATCAGCTAAAGATTCATTCTTTTTGTCAGCTTGCAACCTGTAGGGAGTAAAAGCAACCATGTTTAATGGGGGTCAAACATTATGATTCTAGAGAATTCAGAATGGTTTCAGAGATAGGAAAGTTTAACCTTTGTGGTGGGGAGAAATATTATTAAACACTGGAAATTGATATAAATAATAGTATTTGAACTTCAAGGAAGTAACCAGAATGCTCATAAGTTAACAACATTTCAGAAATTATGTTTTAAAGTTATTGATTTTAAAGTGGATAAAATTAAAGCACTTTCTATAAAACCTTAATAATCCCATCTATAGTAGAGTTATCCTAGATGGAGTTACATACAGTTTCTAAATGACACTGATTCCTGGAGCAGTTCTCCTAACGGTCTATCAATCTGTGGGAAAAACAATGTACTCCATCTTCCCTGCCCAGTACAAGGCTCCAGTCTGGGGATGGTTAAGGCTGGATTTCACCATGAGTTTCTCCAGAAAGAAAAGGTACATTATGCTGCTGTAGGTCACAGGTGAACTATTAGAGCAAAACTACATTGATGAAGGTATTTTGCTAAGAAAATAGTTAACCAGAACTCACAAAGCTGGTTAGCGGGTCAAAAACCTGAATTCTAAGTTTTTCTATTAACTGCATGACCTTGAGTGAGTATTGCTTAATGATTCTACCCCACACACACTTTTTTTTTTTCCAGAATCCTTTTGGACTAAATAGACATTTCCCCAAATATGTTCTGTAGACCATTATTGCCACAAGGTGCTCTGGGAGTTTTAGGGGTCCACAGTTAAATGAGTTAGAGAAATGCTGTATAGTAGATCCTTCTCTAGAAAATACATAATGTGTAGTATAATATTAAAGGATCATGGAAATCTTACAGGAAAGAAACCCTTACATCTTTTGCACCCATTTCTTGACATCTCTTAAGAACTGTGTTCCATGAAGTCCACTTTAGGAACCTGTTTTAGGTGTCTGAGATAACTAAACATTTATGATCCTAGTAAAAATTTTAGCTTATATAAATAAATTATTTCAACATGATACTATAATTTGTCATACACTGTGGAATCTTCTTTAGGAAAGACTAGGGAAAAAACCCTTTAATTCTATAATTTTCTAGTACTCATGGATTTTTTTAAACACAGAGAGGCAGTATTTTCCCTTGGGAATACCAAAACTTTGGTTTGGAATGATTGCTCAGAAGGTAGGGTCAGAGGTTTCCCTACTTTTTGGAATCTCTGTCCAATCTCTCAGACTCTATCCACAATGTTTCTACAGGGTGCAGTTTGATGTTAGGCACTCTTTTATATCCAACACATGTTTATTTTTGTTTAATATGATTTTAGCTATTATTGGCATAAAGTATATAGACCCTCAGGGATCCTTTATTGTTCATAAAGTAATACTTGGCTTCCTAATAATAAAATTCAGAGGAAAAAATCAAGGTGTCTTCATCTTATTTGTAGGATGGGTGCTGCAGATAATATATATAAAGGACAGAGTACCTTTATGGAAGAGCTGACTGACACAGCAGAAATAATAAGACAAGCAACATCCCAGTCCTTGGTTATCTTGGATGAATTGGGAAGAGGGACAAGCACCCATGATGGAATCGCCATTGCTTATGCTACACTCGAGCATTTTATTAGAGATGTGAGTATCTTGCGTACCTTTTTGTATGTGAATGATGCATAGTATACAAATTATTTTTCTGGCCTCAGCTTCTAAATGTTCAAAATTATCTTTAATTATTATAAGTGACCCTATACCTGCAATTGACCACTGAAACACTATACATTGAACTTAGATGGACCGGCCCTACGTCATGTCTGTAATTCTTTGAATTGTCTTCTTTGCTTTTGCTGAAGCCAAATAAGCCTGGTCAGTAGGATAAAGGCCTCTCTGGTAATATTCCCCCCCTCCAGAACTGTTTCTTATTTTCCTTGGCAAACTCTAAATCAAAAGCAGGGACACTCCCCACCCAACCTGCAACCAGTCCTTAAGGAAAGAACAGAAAGGAGATGGTGCCATTTTTAACCTATGAAATCCTTTTTTCAGCAGTATCCTACAGGACCTTGATAGTATGCCTTTAATCTCATGTCTTTGTGTCTGTTTCACTCTTTTAATGCATATCTGTTTTTTCCAGATTGCAGTTCTGAGCATCTCCCTATGAAGTTTTGTTTGTGTTAAACGCTCCATCCCTGTCATCTCCTTCAAACTCTCCCCTTTATTAATGCTCTCTCTCTTTGTTCATTCTGGTCTCTCCCCTTCTGACCCTCCTTCTTGGCACCTGCCCTGAACCTTGTTGGTTCTTTGGTTTTTCTTTCTGTATTTTGTTCTTCACTTTTTAAACTGTTTCCTTTGTGTCTTTCCTCCATTTTCATTTCTTTTTCTCTTCCTTACATAACCAATAAAAGCATATTTTTTTACTCCTATTTCTTTGCACAGCACAGGATGCAAAAATAACTCCCCTTTCCTTTAAACTTCTGTGGGCCTCAGTTTTGTGTTTGAACATTTAGTTAGATTACATAGTTAATGATGGCATGTTTTCTACTTTAAAATAAATACTTTTAATTTTTCTTTAAAAAAAATTCTTTATTTGCAAAAAGATAGAGCTCAGGAATGTCTCTTTAATTATTGTAGAGACTGCATATCACACGTTTGGTAAGTCCTGTCCCTGCCTCTGAAACACATTTTAAACATTGACATAAGAGCCTTCAGGACCGAATTACAACAGACTGAATTTGCCACCTCTGAGCTTGATTTCATTGTTCCTACTCTAGAGCTGCGTATCAGTTACTATGACTGCATAACAAATGACCCCAAGACTAAGTGGCTTAAAACAACAATAATCATCTGTTATATCTCTCATGGTGTCTGGAGTTAAGGAATTTGGGAGCACCTTAGCTGAGTGGTTTTGACTCAGGCTCTCTCCTGAGGTTGCAGTCAAGTTGTCAGCCAGAGCTGCCTTCATCTGAAGGCCTGACTGGGGCTGGAGGACCCTTTCCAATGTGGCTTACTCGCTGGGGCAAATCAGTGCTGGTGGTTGGCCAGGCTCTCACTTCCTTTCCCTGTGAACCTCTCCATAGAGCTGTTTGAATATTGAGTGGCTTCTGGCTTCCCCCAGAAGAAGCATTCCAAGAGGCCAAATTATTTTCTGCATTTTATGACCTAGCTTCACAAGCCACACACTGTCACTACCATCATACTCTGTTGAGCACAACGGCCAGCCTTGGTTCATTATGGGAAGAGGCTGCTCAAGAGCACGAACATTGGGAGGTAAAGAACTTTGGGGCCATGCTGGAGGCTGACTGCCAAAAGCAGTTTGGCGATATTTTAAAGATTCCTCTAAGAACCCTCAGGAACAAATTATGACAGAATTATATTTGTCACTTCTGTTCTCGTTGCTTCTATAGCAGTTTTTTGATGTTTTAAATGTTAATGAAGAAAGTGTTATTTTTAGATAAAATTTATGTTAGAGGTAAGTCATTGAAGAAGATTCTTCAGGAGCAAAGAATCTCTACCCTTTTTATGGATGAAAATCTGTATTTTCATGGTGTCTTTTGATCGCTGGGATAGGGAAGAGAGAGCAGAGAGGAGGAATGGGGAGGCTGTGTGTTGCAGCTGCAAGCTGAAAATGGCCTTGAGGAGAGCAGTGTTGTGACCCAAACCCTTAGGTCTTCTGGCAAGAAGCGCTTGTCAGCTCAGGGAAGGGGCATCCTGGAGACAGCTGGTCCAAAGATACTTCAGGGCAGATCCTAAGAGCAGCTCATCAAAGAAATCCTGCCTTAAGAGGTTTATTGTAATTGTTATACGAGAGAAGGCACATGTTCTGACTTTTAATGAGGTGAATGGCAGATGAAACAAAACTGAAGTTCTTTGATTTAATTACCCTCTTCTGATTTTTATCTTTTTTTTTTAAGATTTATTTATTTGAGAAAGAGAATGTGCAAGCGGTGGGGGTGGGGGGCAGAGAGAGATTCCTCAAGCAGACTCCCCGCTGAGCATGGATCTCAAGGCAGGGCTTGATCCCAGGACCCTGGGATCATGACCTGAGCTGAAATCAAGAGTCAGCTGCTTAACTGACTGAGCCACCCAGGCATCCCTTCTGCTAATTTTTATACCAAGATTTGGTGTTAGCTTCTTTTAAGATTTAAGAAATTAGGGATTTCTAGAATACATAATAATGTGTGCTTTAAAATAATGCTTATTAAAGAATCCGTAAATGCATATTAATACTAACAAAACAAAAATAAATTTTAAAATGGTGGCAGTAGGGTGGGGAGAAAAGAAAGCTCTTCTTTACAGAATGCCAACTAATAAATACTGAGAGAATTTTTTTAAATCAGCATTTACTAGTCACCATATCATCAGGCAATGATGATCCATAGATGACAAAACTTTGAGATGAAAGATTGTTGGGAAAAAGGATATTCACACAATCTCAAAGTATTACTCCACAAGTTATTAATTACAAAGGAGGTAGGTGTCGGTATAGTAGAGAAACCTGGGCACTCACTTAAACCAAATAAGCAAATTTAACATCCCCAATAATGGGCCAAATTGATAAAGTAAAATTTAAAAATAAAATAACGGGGGCGCCCGAGTGGCTCAGTCAGTTAAGCGTCTGCTTTCGGCTCGGGTCGTGACCCCAGGGTCCTGGGATCAAGTCCCACGTCGGGCTCCCTGCTCGGCGGGGAGCCTGCTTCTCCCTCTGCCTGCCGCTCCCCCTGCTTGTGCTCGCTCTCCCTCTCTTTCTCTCTGTCTCTGACAAATAAATAGAATCTTTTAAAATAAATAAATAAATAAATATAAAAATAAAGTAACGTTTGTCATGTCTTACTGCTTTAGGTGAAATCCTTAACCCTGTTTGTCACCCATTATCCACCAGTTTGTGAATTAGAAAAAAGTTACTTACAACAGGTGGGAAACTATCACATGGGATTCTTGGTCAGTGAGGATGAAAGCAAAGAGGATCCAGGTATGAAACACGCTTGCAGTAAGTACAACTAGACTGTGGTTGGTTTTCATGTTTGATAACTCAGAATTCATGAATACATGAACTTGCTGCTTATTAAAAATAAAAGCTGTGAATGTTGATTTTAAATGACATTTGTCTGACTTCATTTTCTCTAAGCTTAGGGTCAAGTAGAATTTACATTTATCTTTGCCATCTCTGAGCGCTTCTCTGGTCTTTCTTTACCTCATTTTTCTACAAGAAGAAGATGGGGTCAGGGGGGACATGTAGGTTTTACTCTCAGATTCATCCCAGGAAAGATGCCCTAACAGTCGAGTATATTAGTCATCTTTAAAAATGTCTGATGTATTTCCCCAAATATCATCCCCAGTATTCAATACTGGACATATGTTTTATCTTAACTTGACAAGGAAACTGAATGTCAGGTCAGGTGGCTTGCCCATGTGGGCCACCTGGGTGGGGGCTGAGCTGAGCCTAGAATCATAGAATCTGCTTGCAGGTTCTATCCCACTCTGCTAGAACTGGTATGTGGGATCTACACTATTTTTCCTAGCCTTCCCACACTGCACCACTGTCACAAGAATGAGACGTTTCGTGAAAAAGAACATCATTAGCCAACAGAAATAAATTCAAGTGCTGTAAGTAATATAGTCAATTTTAGTATAATTTTATTTTCCTGTTCAGTAGTAATTTTTTTAAGCTCCCAACCTGTGGGCCAGTGATGGTTTACACAGTTGGTGTGCTACAGTGGAAAATCCATTACCCAAGACACTCCAGAGTCCAAATTTTATTTTGGAAAAGTAATAAAGATGAACCTGAAAAAGAAATCAGGCGACTGGCCCAAATAAAACAAAGCCCTGGACCTGAGATAAATGTAATGTTAGGCAATCCTTGCCTTTCACCACCATGCAGTCTTGAAAAACACATCATAAATTTTCTCATGGAAGCAGTTTCATGTCTATTAATCTGCATCCAAAGTGACAGGAGGAGCTTATAAGCTAAAATCCAGTGGGATAAACAAGAGTTCACCAGCAGGGAAGGGTCAATGATAAGCATTTATGTGAACTGACTATCAACCTGTAAGGGTTCTGGCATTTTATCTTATTGATTGAAATTTATATTCATGAACATAATTTTAAACAGTAAATGATGCTAAAAGGCTCATGCTAACAGGCCGTAGACCCCTGCTTCTGTCCCTTCCCTCCATGACTCCTCCCTATCCAGTCCCAAGGCAGCTACTTTCAACTCTTTCATTGCTTTCTTCCGTATCTCTAAATAAGACGCTTATCTGCCCATCTCTTGGTTCATCGTCTTGACACATTACTGTCCGGCTTCTCATTGAGCTGGTTGGGAGTCTTCAGCCTTTCCTGCTTTAACCTCCCAGTGTACTCATTCCAGGTTCTTTCTGCCTCATTCCTCATCATAGTTTTCACTGTTATTGCCAGTAACTCTTGCTTAATCATGAGCCAGGTATGAGGACAAGTGCATTTTCTTTCTTTCACAACTTTTTTGTTTTTTTGTGTTTTTGAAAGCAGTAATTGCCTTGTTTCATTCCATTCTTTTATTTGAGTCTGTATCTGACTCTCCCTGTACCCTCCAGCAGCTTTGTAAAACACCTCTCTAGACATGTTTCCACATGATTGAACTGCTGGTTCCACTTCTTGTTGGAATCGTTCCTCCTGGAGCGCTTTATCCTGCGTGTTGGCGCTGGTTGCTCCCTAGGCCTGCTGCACACAGCTGTTGTCCCGACACCTGCCTTCACCATCAGCCTAAGAATTCTCTCATCCCGCCTTCTGTGCATTTGATTGCAGGTGACCGGACAGTGGAATTCATAGGAGTGCCAACAGTGAGAATGGGAATAATCTCACATTACAGGGACCTCAGAGGAAGAGAGGGCTTCAGCTCCGTCTTCCTGTCTTCCTGCATCATCAGGCTAGTGACAGGGCGGCTGCAGCTTTTTCTTGCATCAGAGCCAGAATTGACAGTGTCCCAAGGGACCAGCATTTCCTGTGACTCTTTCTCTGGAGCCCAGATGCTCGCTAGCATCTCATCATTGTCCCCTCTCCTTTTCAGAATTGAATCACATGCTCACTCTTAAGCCAATTGCCAGAAGTGACAATGACAGGGATGACTTTGATCAGCCTAGATTAATCAGGATCCACTTTCGTAGCTTGGTATGAGGACATTATCTCCTCAGTTAAATGGTCAGGGAGTTAATTCCATATAAAATCAGGGTTTTCTTAGGGTTGGAACAGATTTTGGATAGGCTACTAATAATATCAACTAAAGGAGTTAAAAGTTTTGAGATTTTGCAGGAATGAAAACGTCTCCAATATACCTTCATACTTGATTTATAATTTCGCTACGGCTAGAATTTTAGGTCGAAAATAATTTTCACTCACAATTCTGAAGCATCAGTGCATTGTCTGCTTACTTCTAGTGTTGTTCCAGCGACATCTATGTCTCATCCATTACCTCTACCCTAACTCCTCTGCTGTCTGAATTAGAGGCCACCGCATAGGTCATCAGTCAAGGGCCCCAGAGACCTTTTGGGTGGCTTTTAAGATACTCTGTTATTTCTCATGGCAAGGTAGATAAAGCAGCATACTAGCAGTAAGAAACATGTACTTTAATCTATTCCAGTCTATAAAATCTTGGACAAGTTACCTAATCTCATCCACCTCTAAAAATGTTATGAATCAGTCCCAAAAGTGACTTCAGAGACTATTTCATCAGCACATATTTCTTTAATAACTGCCTACAGAAGTTTGGCTTTCAAACAAATTTTGCTAAGTTCCCCTGTAACAAGCAGAAACATGAATTATTACTTTCTGTGATTCTAAGCAGTGTCAGATTAATTTTTCAGTAATATCCATCTAGGAAATGGTTACAGCTTATAAGTAAAGTCCTCACCAAGAGCTTTTATTTACCACCTTCTCTCCTATCTGGCTCTGTCTGCCACCACATTTCCATCACACACCCACTCACACTCTCTCCCTTTGTCCCCTCTGAGAGGGGTGAAGGACAGTCCTGATGTAGAATATAACTCTAAAAACTCCCTAACATGAGGGGGCGCCTGGGTGGCTCAGTCAGTTGAGTGTCCGACTCTTGGTTTCGGCTCAGGTCACGATCTCATGGGTGGTGGGATCAAGCCCCATGTCAGGCTCTGCGCTCAGTGGTGAGTCTGCTTGAGATTCTTTCTCTTCCTCTGCCCGTCCCCCTGCTCATGCTCGCACTCTCTCTCTCTCTCAAATAAATAAATAAATCTTAAAAAAAAAAAAAAAACACCCTAATGTGATTATGGAAGAATAGTCATTTACCTCGATGCTGTGAGAACTACCATAATTACATGTATCATATGATCTCACTGATATGAGGAATTCTTAATCTCAAGAAACAAACTGAGGGTTGCTGGAGTGGTGGGGGTGGGAGGGATGGGGTGGCTGGGTGATAGACATTGGGGAGGGTATGTGCTATGGTGAGCGCTGTGAATTGTGTAAGACTGTTGAATCACAGACCTGTACCTCTGAAACAAATAATACATTATATGTTAAAAAAAAAGAAGATAGCAGGAAGGGAAAAATGAAGGGGGGGAAATCTGAGGGGGAGACGACCCATGAGAGACTATGGACTCTGAGAAACAAACAGGGTTCTAGAGGGGAGGGGGTGGGGGGATGGGTTAACCTGGTGATGGGTATTAAAGAGGACACATTCTGCGTGGAGCAATGGGTATTATGCACAAACAATGAATCATGGAACCCTACATCAAAAAAATTAATTAAAAAAAAAGAACTACCATAATTAGTACTACAGTGGAGACTAGGATATGATGACAAATTGAGGAATTGTTCGTACTGAGGTATGTTAAGTTATTCATAGCAATATAATATATAGCTATAAAATATATAGATATATTTTATAACATATATAAGAAGCATTTTATAGCTATGCATATGTATACATACTGTATTATATATATATATATAAACAAACAAAAGCCACCAGAAAAGTGAATTTTAACTAAGGGGGTTTTGTGGCGTTAGAGGGCTTCCAGAAAAGGATAGAAGGAAGGATGGATGGATGGATGACAAACGGACAGACGGATGAATGAAGTATTTTTTAGAAAGACCAGCATGGAGGCTAGATCATAGAAGAGAGGCTGGATGTAGGTACATCAGTTAGAATCAAGCCAGGTGAAGTGATAAAAGACTGGTTTTTTGTCTTAAGAATGAGAAGAATTTGTCCTTTTGATTGCCTCCTGCTGTTCACTTCACTTTTGGTCATGTGAGCATCAGAGAGTAATAAAAAAATTACCCAAGTTAGCAGGCACTGGATTCTCCACGCTTCTTTCCTGGTCTCCTTCCACCCACCTCCTCACCTGTTCTTTATGTTCCTGGAGTTTTATTTGGAGGCAAAGGGATTGTTAGTGCTTTTTTTGTTTTTTTTTTTTTTAATTTTATTTTATGTTTTGTTAATCACCATACATTATGTCATTGGTTTTTGATGTAGTGTTCCATGATTCATTGTTTGCATATAACACCCAGTGCTCCATGCAGTACGTGCCCTCCTTAATACCCATCACCAGGCTAACCCATCCCCCCACCCCCCTCCCCTCTAGAACCCTCAGTTTGTTTCTCAGA